TATGAAACACTTGCTGATTGGCTGATTTAGTTGTGTGAGTCCTTTCATGGGCTGCAATGTTTAACAGGGGAGGTAACTGTAGAAAGGTTAGGTACCACACCCAGTAAGTGGTTGGGAGGAGAACTCTTCTACATGATACTAACCTACATGTATGTAGTAGTAAACTTTACCTGAACAGTTTTAATGATCATAACCGTATTTCCAAAACTGGTTCTCTTCACAGCTCTGCCAATATGGCTCCAAATCGTCTTTCAGTGTCAATATATTGACCAGCCTCTGTGGTAAGATTTGACCCTTCAGAAAGTTGTGTAAGTGAATGCCAGTTGTTCTACGAATAAAATTCCTGCAAAGGCGCCTCAGTGTCTGGGGATTGTCAACGTATTCATCGAGGTGGTCTTTGAGATCTTGATACATTCTGGTGTTTCTATCAAATCCCTCCAAATCTGTCATTTCCTTTAACTTTGTTCTCAAGAATTCAACATCATCTTTACAAATAGTGTGTGCAGTACGTAATGTTAACAACTGCATTTCACTATTGACTAGTGGCATGATAATCTGTGGTCTAGAGCTTTGCAGCTCTGCAGTTTGTGGTCCACTGATGTCAACATTGGCCAAAAGCATACGCAGCAGCATTGATGGGTTCATCCCTTGCCCACGAATTTGATACATTTTTGTAGCAAATACGTCTGCTCCTAGTTCAAGCAAAAGACTAACAAGTGTGCCATTCTTCTTAACAGAAGCAGATGTGTTCCTCTGATCTGTGGCTAAATTCAGGCAGGATGAACCTGTTGTTATGGCTGCATTGATGTTGTATCCAAATTCCTTCAGTTTTCTTACAATTCCAAGCAGATCGATTTCAATCACATTTGTCTCCAGAAGTAGAGCAGGAAATGGAGGGACTGTTGCAAAGTCAGAGTCATTTATTTCTTTTTGTTTACGACAATAATATAATGGCTTTTCCAAGATCTTCACACATGCATCATAGTGCAACATTTTTGCCCAGTATAATGGAGAACAAACTGTATAGTGGAAGGTATGCCGAAATCTAACATATCTAATAAGTACCTTGAGAAGGCTGGGTGAGTTTTTTAGTGTTGCCAAGGTAACCAGATTCATAAATTTTGAAAACTTTGTAATTGAATTGGCTTTTGTGGATTCAAGTAGAAACTTTGTTGTCTCAGTGGCATCTGAAAAGGGAGATAATATATTAGACGTGCATACTAATTAATGAAATTGTTAGAATCAAAAAGTGAGTGTAGTTTAGCTGTGGAAATTATGCATAGTTCAAATAATGTCCAATCAATTTATAAATTTAATATTGTATGCTATTGAATTTGCCATAGACCTAAGACATCCTGCCTAGTTAACCAGGAATGAGATCATTAAACAAACCAACACTTAATTATCCACCACATCCATTTGTTCGTGATACATCATTGCAGTCTTTAAACAGTTGGGTACATGTATTTAAAAAATATGCATTCAAAACAATTTCCATCACTCAATACTATCTCTGCTCTGCTGTTTTCAGTCTTTTATTTTTTGTACGCTCTGAATGAATTTATGAATTAAAGTGACTAGAACCGTTTAACATGATCTTGTTGAGAAATGCACTTTTGCTATTATGCAGATAAATGTCCTACAGAATACATGTACATTATGTATGTATTGGATGCCTTGTCAGCTAGTGAAGATATAGGTGTTTTGTTCAGCAACATCATTCCATGTCATTGACCCCCAATGTTTTCATAGGCTGGACACTCATAGTACTGTAACTGATGTTGGCGATGACATCAAATATTGAAATATTAAATAGTGATCTGACAATAAACTAAGGTTCCCACAGGTTACTGTAGAGTGGACATTATTGTACACTTTCTTTCTGAAGAAGCTCATTTATTACAGCTATTCCAATTCTAAATGCTGAAACGTTCCTATCTAACAACTGACATTCACCAGCACCCAGTATAACAATTGTGTTAGGTTATACCAAACAGATAGTCAAGAATCACTAAATGATCTTACCAAGGTATATACATAAAGAAACAATGAAGTAAACCGGGAAACATTCGTAATCCACTATCAGTTTGAGGAAGTCTCTTTCTGAAGGTTGTGTGATCAAATCTTTAAGCAGTTTGACGGTTGGATCAGACTTGTGTAAGTTAAAGAAATGTGATACATCTCGATTCATAGCCAGGACTCTGCTGTCTAGTCGAACATGGTTTCTTTTGACGAGAAACTCTACACAGTCCATAGATCTGTTTTCCAGAGAAACAAGCAATGCCTTCGAGTTCATACCACTGAAACATTGTTTGTCTTTCAGTAGGTGTTCTAAAGCAGAAACATCATTCATTTGTGCTGCCAAGGTAGAGGGAGTGATATTTCCACGGTCGAAGTGTCTATCCATGTTGCCAGCCATGCTTGGAAATTTCTTTCTCAGAAAATCAATGACTTTGTATTTTCTATGCAACACTGCAGTATGAAAAGGGGAAATACTGTGATATCCAGTCTCAAAATGAAAACATAAACTGCCCACTGGAGTCAATCTATCTGACAAAATTTCTCTAAGAAGTTTGCGTTTTCCAAGAGCTGTTGCTACGTGAATAGCAGTAATGGAGGCAGTGCATGAATAGGGAATAAGGCTCTTGAGCATGTAGGACTGCACAGAACCTTCCCCTATCTCTGATGGGGAGCGGTTCATATCAATTCCAGTAGAATGTTTATGCTTTTTAAACAACTTGGTTATTGTTTCATATATATTGTCCTTGACTTCGGATTTGGCTGTAAATCCTGACGGTAACTGTGTTCCATCATAGTTCTGGAGAATGGACAGAACATGTGGACAAACCCCGAGCAGTAAGGAGGTGTGGAGCTCTGCTAGCAGGTCTTCAGTTGTCTGACCTTCACGCCCTTGTAAAGTCTCCAGGTGTCTAGAACATTCACATTCTGGGTTCTCATTCACCTTCAATTGACCCAAGCAAGCTGAAATCCAGAGAAAATAATATCAACATTATATTATTAAAAAACCCCATGCCATCCATCCAGGATAGTGAAATGGATTTTTTTTCTGTTTGCATTGTAACTCATAAGGACAACTTTGATCTGGCCTAAATACCACCTTGGATGTTCATGGCAAAGGTGTTCATTGAAATATCTGATAAATATAAATTCATTACTGTTTGACATTAAAAATGCTACTGATGTAAGATTTTAACTGTTCAAAAGTTGTCTTATTATTAAGATTATTAATTCTAATCAATGTCATTTAAAATCCAAGAATGAATGTGTATACATGTATATAGAATATGATTGCTTTCGAAAAACATCTTACATTGGAAATTGACTTGATATATATAGACCGCATTTGTTTCTTTCATCCTGAAAATGTCTCATTCTAACATAATTTTCTTGATTAAGTAGAATAGACAATTATCACCTGTATTCAGTTTGGGGTAGAAAGGCGTTTATCACCTGTATTTTGTTTCAGGTAGAATAGACAATTATCATCTGTATTCTGTTTCAGG